TGATGCCTCCCCTCAATCCTCTCTACTCACCACTTCCCACTAGCCTCACTCCTCCAGAGGCTCTCCCACCTGCTATGTCTTCTTTGACTGTTCCCAGGGGGGCTCTGCACAAGCCAGGCATTGGACTTGCTTGGCATCAAACACATGGTGTCTGCCCAATCATGTCCAGAGTCCTTACCACTACTCTCCAGCTCCTGGGACCTTGGGGACTCCACTTTTTTTCTCCTTGTGCGCCAGACAGCCCCCAGGCATCTGCCATTCCAGGATGCCTCATGCTTCTCAGGTCAGCCCCTGAGAGGTTTCCTGCCTCTCCCAAACTGCATTAGCAGCTTTTTGGTTTTCTGCAAGTTGAGTAGAGTTCATGGTATGTGATGAATAGTTGAACTGGAACCAGCTTCTGTGTTGGTTGTTAAGTCTGAGAGGGCAGGGCCTTCCTGCTGCATTTTGACATCTATAAAAGCATGTCCTCAGTACGGGTACTCACTTACAGTGGGCTTTCAGCAAATACATAACTGGCTGACATCACCCAAGATGGTAGAAAGAAAAACTCAGGAAACCACAGGTCTGTGGAAGCAGACATGGCACTGTGATAAGAAGGGAGAGCTTGTGCCTGCTGCTCTCCTCCTTTATCCCTCTGTAAGGCCTGTCTGCCTGCCTGGGATGACAAGCGTGCATTCCTCTACTTTCCCTGCTGTCCAGGCCTAGTGCTTCCTAGTTCTCAAGTTCTCACTTTCCCTTTAGCATTAGTTAAAAAGCAGTTACATAAAATCCTTCTCTAGCCTGAGCCTGGGGTAGTGACCTCTTGGGCATTCCTCCTGGTTCCTGCTACTGCTGTCACCTACTGTGCTTTTCACCATAATTGATAAGCACCTTGGAGGCTATACCAGGCGATCTTTCTGCCCACAAAGGGCAGTCTTCCCACAGTTGCCAACTCCTGCTGTCTGTTGCCTCCCCAGGGCATCTCCTCTTATGGAAAGTGTGTTGGGGGGAGAGGGGCATCTCTCCCTTCCAGTGCTGTGCCCGGTGCTGGGAGTGGGTTGGAGGGGAGACTATGCTGGGGTTCTGGAAGGCAGCTTCAGTTCTGGCCTCAATGGCTTTTCTTTTATGTCTTGAATTCTCTTTTCTGGTTTCCAAAACAAGCCTTTGCTCTGGCCTTTTGCTGTAGAGTTGAATTAAGTCTACACTTAATCCAACTGTTTTTATAGTGCTGGAGAACCCGAGAGAAGAAAGTAGAACCAAGTGCATATCATTTAAGAATTCTCTTAACTGCAGTGATTTCCCTTTTTCATTTGAGGTATTATGTAGGGAATTTTTCAAGTCTAAAATCAGAATTGAGGGGCTGGAGCAATAGCACACCGGGTAGGGTGTTTGCCTTGCATGCGGCCGACCCCGGTTCGATTCCTAGCATCCCATATCATCCCCTGAGCACCGCCAGGGGTAATTCCTGAGTGCAGAGCCAGGAGTAACCCCTGTGCATCGCCAGGTGTGACCCAAAAAGCCAAAAAATAAATAAATAAAATAAAATCAGAATTGATTTGCCTTTGGAGATCCAAGGAGATACCGGGGGTGCTACAAGGCAAAGTAAATAATGGCTTTTTTCCCTATGGAGCGATATCACAGCGGGTAGGGCGTTCGCCTTACAAGCGGCCAACATGGCCGACCCGAGTTCGATTCCTCCGCCCCTCTCGGAGAGCCCGGCAAGCTACCGAGAGTATTCGATATGCCAGACACAGTAACAACAAAGTCTCCAATGGAGACGTTACTGGGCCCACTCGAGCAAATCGACGATCAACGGGAGGGCCTTTACCTTTACCTTTACCTTTACCTTCCCTATGGAGAAAAAGTTGCTGATATTGTAAACAATTGTTAATTTGCACTAACCACTCATCACCCTAGTGGCCTGATAGTTTGAAGGGCTAGAAAGCTAGGGTACAGGAACTCTTTTTACTCAGAAGATAGGAGAAGAAAACAATTTTGTGATCCTAGGGTCACATGTGGTCCTGTTGATAAATGAGGCATCTTTGCAATTGGTCAGAAAATGTCATGTTTTCACTAAATGTCATTTCACTAAATGGAAGTACATGGGAACCAGCCCTTCAGTATTAGTCACTTATTTTTAAAATTAATGATTTGTTTAAAGATCTTACCAAGATTTCCTGGTTAACATTAAAACTTTTACCATCTTCCCTTTCATAGAAAATAAGTTGTGCGGGGCCAGACCTGTGATAGTACAGCGGATAGGGCATTTGCCTTGCCCGGTTTGATCCCCAACATCCCATATGGTACCCTGAGTTCCACCAGGAGTGACTTCTGAGCACAGAGTCAGGAGTAAGCCCTGAGCCAGACAGGGCTTGTTGCCCAAAGACCAAAAGGGGAAAAAAAAGAAAAGAAAGAAAGGAAGTAAGAAAAAAAAAGCTGTTTAATGAGTAGAGTTTCGATTTGAGATGGTGGAAAGACTCTAGATTTAGATGGTGGTATAGCATCGTGTAAGTACTTCATGCTACTGAGTTGTACTCTTAGAATGAGAAATTTTACATTATGTGTACTTTGTCACAACAAAAAATTAAGTAACAGTGGCAAAAACTGAAAAGTAGACTAACCTTTACAAAGATAAAACTAGGGCTTCACCAAGCTACAACTGAACCGCTCCATTTACTTTTTTCTTCCTTTTTTTCCTTTTAACCATAACATGCTTAAAATAAAATTTATAAGTACATTATTTTTAGGTTTATCTGTACAGATAACTGATTTTTAAAAAAATCAGGGCCACATCCAGAGAGCTTAGGGGACCAGTGCTGCTCAGAGCAGTGCTGGGGAATGACACATATAGTGCCAGAGATCAAACTCAGGGTCTCACATACTCTATGTATGTGTTCTGCCACTTGAGAGGAGCGCTCCACTTTCTGTTACCTATGAACAATGAAACAAAGCCCCAAGCAAAGTTCCTTCCCTGTGAACACACATTGTCTTTGTAGTTGCATGTATAGATGCTGGATGATGAGCAAATAGTACTTATTTAGATTGTTTGCACATCTTCCTCTACTTCCTCCAGGCATCTTTTCAGATTCACCGCTTGTTTGTGTGATGCAAGGAATGAATCCAAGGTATCACACATGCAACACACGTGCTCTAATGCTGAAGTTCATCACTTGTGATGAACTTTCATTTATTCATTTGTTGTGGGGGCCAGGGGCTTGGTTGGGGTCACACCCAGCTGTGCTTAGTATGGCTACTCCCAGCAGGAGTAGGGGTACTCCCAGCTCTGAGCTCAGGGTTTGCGCCTAGGGGTGCCCAGGAACCGTGCAATGTCCATGCTGATGAATCTGGGCTTCCTGCCTGCAAAACATGTGCTCCGGCTCCAGTTCATTAAGCTACTTAACCAGATTACTTTAATTTTTTTTATATATTTTCCGTTCTTTCCTCTGTGTGTGTGTGTGTATGTGTGTTTGGGGTGGAGTAAGGGGGTTCAGCTACACCTGTCAGAGCTCAGAGGTTTCTGGCTCCGCCCTCAGGGATCACTCCTGGTAGGTTTAGGGGACCATGTGGGGTGCCAGAGATTAAAGTTGGGTCAGCTGTATGAAAGGCAAGTGCCCTACCCTCTGTGCTATCACTCCACCCTGCCTCCCCCCCACACACACACTTTTTTTTAAAAAATAGAAGTCACTGCATCAGTATTCCCGGAGGTGCTGGGTTCATTCCCTGTGGTGCTTTGTCTCACCTATGGTGTGGGTGGCACTGATGGTTTTGTGCACAGGCCTGGTTGTGTTCACATTCCACTGGGCCACCCCAGTTGGTACTCTGAGGGGCATGTGGTGTCAGGAATTGAATTCAGGATTTGGCATATGCCAGGCAGATGCTCTAACATTTGACCTATCTCCATCTCTCCAGCTTGTGTGCCATTCTTTTTTCTTTTAACTTAATTTTATTTTTACAAAGCTGTTCACAATAATTCATTACATTAAATATTTGAACATCAATTCGACAACCATTGCACCTTCCCACCACCATATTTCAAATGTTTCCATCCCAAATCCCAAATCATGCCCCCAAACCAGAACCAAAACAATTAATTTTGTATTACTTGTTACAAATAATCTGCTAAAAATGGTCCAATAAAATTTCCTTAGAGGAAAGTGTGTGAAGATTGTTGTATTTCATCCTGGAGTCATAAAGCCCCTGTATAAGAGATTACTAGCATGTTTGTTAAATCTGATCTAATGTTGTGTGCTACTCTTGGTACATCAGTGGTGTAGAGTACGAGATGTTGCTCCAGGAATTTTTAAATTTAGAATACGACTATACAGCAGGTTCATTCAAGGGTGAGGCCTATGTTGCTCTCTTACGGGAGTTTGATTTCTGAGTCTGTGAATCATGGCCATTGATGAGATTATGTGGCACCAGGGGCAGTTTGTGAGTGTGACTGCCAAGCTACTGAAAAACTTGGGAGATGGAGGGGAGGAGGCCCATTTCCCTTCCAAGCAAGCCTGGAGATTTCAGTCACAGGTTCCGCATACCTGGGCTTTTCTGCATGTCCACTCAAGGGCGAGGCTCTTCTGAGCCTCTGGAGATCAGCAATTGAGTTCTGGAGGCTTTTAGCTGCTGAGTATCTGTGGGGGTGGTGAGGGAAACTCACCTGTACCCCTCCTAGTTGCCCTGGTGAAAATAGCCTGGTGCAGGGGTCTGGACGTTCTATGTTGCACTCTTCTGGGAGCTTGGTCTCTTATTCTTTGTACCATTCTTTTAAGAACTCCTTTTTTTTGCAGGAATTTGAAAGGTGACAGGAGGAACAATGTTCACCCATCGTCTTAATATAGTTTTTGAAACAGTCCTGGGAATTCAGCCCCTGCCTGAAACAGGGCTGTCTAGCTTCTTGTGGTTCTGTCACTCAGAGAGTCTAGCTGCAGCTAAACCACATGCCTGTACCCGGCTGCCTTCTAGGTTCCTGGCTCCCCTCACTGAGAATGTGCCTCTCCATACTCTTTCCTTTCCCTCTCCCTCAGCTCAAGAGGGCCAGCAGTGAGGACATGCTCAACAAACCAGGATGCTCCTCCACTTCTGGAGTGACTCGACTAAAGAAGACGCCCACCTCTGGAGCCATCTCTGAGCTCACCGAGAGCCGTCTGCGCAGCAGCTCAGGTAGGAGGCCCTGCAGGGGAGACCCCATGCTGGAGAGGCTGAGGTGGAAAGCCAGGCTCACCTGGGGCCAGTCAGAGTGCTTCAAGGCACAGCAAACAGAACTCCTCGAAGGTCTGTCTTGAGTGATCTGTGGGCCAGGAACCACTAGGCAGCAAACTTCCTGCCCAGAGGGAGGGGAATTCTAGTGGGAGATGTGGGAGCAGCTAAGGAGTGCTGGGCTTGGCTCACACCATGAGTGTGTGTGGTCCTTTTGAGACCCAGACTGGGGGTTTCTGTTCTGGATTGTCTTCATGAAAAAGCTGGTGAGAGTGTAATTCCTCAATCGCGGGCTGTGTAAGCCCCTCACATGCATGGGGATCACACGTGAAAGGATGTTCTCAGGGTCTCCAGGAGGTTCTCTCTCTCTCTCCTCTCTCTCTCTCTCTCTCTCTCTCTCTCTCTCTCTCTCTCTCTCTCTTTCTCTTTCACCACCCGCGTTCGGTGCTCTGAAACTGCTTCTCCACCAGGAACAACTGTTGCCTTGGACGGACAAAGGAAGAATGAGGGCCAAGCTGGTTAATGATTAGCTGCCATTTATTCAGTCTCTCATCTCTCCCAGCTCTCTCCAACCCTCTCTTCTCTCTCTCTCTTTCTCTCTCTCTCTCTAACCACCCAACTCTTTCTTCTTGCTATACCCATCTCCTCTGTCTCTCTCTCTCTCTGCTGTTTATCTGCTGTCTCTGTAACCGTCTCTCCTTCAATTCCCCCCTTTCTCCCTGCAGCCACTTTTTTATCCTCTCACCATGCCTCCCCAATGACACCTCCCTAAGGGAAGCGTGATCAAAAAATGTTTTTCTAGACTTCTGGACCACTTGCAGCCCACAGGGCAAAACAGCCCTTAAGGTGTGTTTCTCCTCTCCTTAGACCTGCAACTTAATTAACATCTTTAATTCTCCTTCCTAATATTTGCCATTCTGTATGGACACAGTAACAGACATGTTTAGGTTTATAGTCTGACTCCCCTGGGGATATCTCACCACAGATTCAGACTACAGTGCTCAGGCAGTATTAATCATTCCTAACCCCAGCAGGGTCCAAATCTAGTTATTACTTTTGGATTATGACAGAATTTGTCCATGACCAAGCTCTCAACTTGTAGTTAAGCATTTTGGCACTTTGGCCAGGCCCATTTCAATGCCAGGGTAGCTAGCTCACCTCCTGCCTAGGGTCCCTCCTCAGGACCCTGCTTTTGAGGATCTAGAAAGTAAGGGAAACTGAGGCTTAAGTCAAGAGAGCAGATGTCCAGGAGGTAATATTATCTGGAGTCAATCAACTCCTGAGACACAGGCTTGTCTTTTTAACTGTCTTCCTGTATCCATACAAAAAGCAACTGCTCTGAAATAACTAACCATGCAAAGAGCAGTAAGGAGAAGAGAAAGACAATATTTACAAGTCAGAGTCTGATCAGAAGACAAAGGTAATTGACAGGTTGGGGGGCAATCAAGGTTGGGGTCAACAAACACAAGTTCCCAGGGGCCAGGGAGGAAGGGCAAACCAATATTATCCTACACATGAGTGAATGAACAAACACAAGGTCTTGAAAGAGTGAGCTTTCATCCTGCAGCCTGTGGAGGATGAGAAGCCCCTCACTCAGGCTGCTTAGGTGGCGATGCCCACCAGAATCCGCAAACTTTCTTGGTATTCCTAGTTGTCTGAGAAACAGAAAAGTCATTTTTTGGCCATTATATCTGAGGTCGGGACATGAGAAACTTAAACCATCAAAGAATATATTTAATTTTCTTTTTTGTGCATGCAGATAAGAAAGCTACACTATGTAATTAATTTATAGAAAGAGATGTTGTTATATTACAATAGTATCACTGTATCACTGTCATCCCATTGTTCATCAATTTACTCGAGGGGCACCAGTAACATCTCATTTGTCTCAGCCCTGAGATTTTAGCAGTGACTCCTTACTCGTCTTTCCCAACGCTGCCGTATTGGAGGCTCTTTCAGGGTCAGGGGAATGAGCTGACCATTATTGTTACTGTTTTTGGCATATCGAATACACCATGGGTAGCTTGCCAGGCTCTGCCATGTGGGCGGGATACTCTTGGTAGCTTCCCAGGCTCTCTAAAAGGGACGGAGAAAACAAGCAAGTATGTTAAAACCAAACACATGTGTACTGCTTTAGGTATATCAGTGGGCTAGACTATAAGAGGTTGCGCAGCCGCAATTGCAGCCACGTGCTCCAGGAGATACTGCATGGCTCTCTTCGGGGAGCTTTGTTTTATAGTCTCTGGATCTTGACCGTTGATGAGATTACATGGTGCCGGGGGCAGTTTGTGGGTGTGACTGCCAAGCTACTAGAAAATGGGGGATCTGATTGGAGGAGGCCCAATCCCGATCTGAGCAGGCTTGGAGATCTCAGCCCCAGGTCCCGCATACCTGAGTTCCTCTGCCAGTTCCTTCATGTGTGAGTCTCATCCAAGTGTGTGGAGAGTGGCCTTGAGCATGGCTGTGGCTGGATTCTGGAGGTCTTCGGCTGCCGGGGTTCTGCTTTGGGCAGGGGGGAAACTCAACCCACCCCCCTCCAAGGGGCCCCAGTGAAGACAGCCTGGCGCGGGGGCAGGGGTTCTGCATCACTATAAGACTGTAGAACAAAGCTCCCGGAAGGGAGCAACATAGATTATAATAGTATAAATTGTGAATTCACATTATTAGTACGACCAGTGTTGTACTAAACACAACCACGTTTGACTTTTAAAAATACAACATATGAGGTGATTAGAGGTGCCACATCATGAAGTACTTTGCCTGTATTGGATCCCTTGTACCATAGAGGGTCTGAACACTTTTTAGGTGTGGCCCTTGGGGTCCTCAAACACTGCCACACGTGACCTTCAAAACAATAATCATAGCAACCACCAAAAATATATATAGTACATATGAAAAAATGTAACTTATTTTTATCAAGTCAGGCAAACATTGATTTTTTTTTAAATCAAAGCACCTCTGAAAAAGAAAATAATCTCACTCTTAAATGTTGATGCATGGAGGCTGGAGCAATAGCACAGCAGGTAGGGCATTTGCCTTGCACACAGTCGACACTGGTTCGATTCCCAGCATCCCATATCATCCCCTGAGCACCGCCAGGGGTGATTCCTGAGTGCAGAACCAGGAGTAACCCCTGTGTATCACCAGGTGTGACCCCAAAAGCAAAAAAAAAAAGTTGATGCAAATATGCATGATCAAAATGTTATCAAATATAAAATAATTAAGAACAAGAAGAACAAATACCTTTTGACTCACTTACATATGATTTAAAAAGAACAGACAAAAACCAAATTTCATAGATACAGAAAACAGATGGGTGGTTGCCAGTGGTGGGGAGAGGATTAAGGAGGTCAAAGGGTACAACTTCCAGTTGTAAAACGAGTCATGGGAATGTAAGGTACATTGTGAGTATAACTAATAACACTATATAGCATAACTAATAACACTATATAGCACGTTGACAGCTTCTGAAAGAGTAGTTTTTGTTTGTCTGTTTCTGATTAGGGGCCATACTTGGTGATGCTCAGGGGTTACTCCTGGATCTACACTCAGGTATTACTCCTGGCAGTGCTCCAGAGATCATATGGGATGCAAGACAAGTGCCCTAACTCCTAGGACCAAGAACATAGTACAGTGGTAGATCACAAGCTTTGCTTGTAGATCATGACTAGGTAGACTATAAAAGTATGGATACTTCCTTAATGATGTAAAATGTATGTATCACAAATTATAGCCAGCATTATACCCAAAAATCCTAGAAAGAATACCATAAAAATCAAGAATGATTTAAGATTGCCTAGGTCTGTCATTTAAAATTTACAAGTATTGACTAAAGCACTGAGACAAGAGAGCTATAGAAGTACACAGATATTGGAAATGAAAAAACAAAATCATTTTATGTAGTTATTATAACGTATCCCTAGAAAAATTATTAGAATTTTCTGAAAATTGTGTCATTAAAAAAATATACAATGCCCTGAAATTCTGCTGGATAAGATCCAGAGATCTGGTACTAAAACTATAGTGCAATATTCAGGGCACTTGCCTTGCCTGCGGCTGACCCAGGTTTGATCCCCGAAACCACATATGGTCCCCTGAGTCTGCCAGGAGTGATCTCTGGATGTGAACCAGGAATAAGCCCTTAGCACCACTGGGTGTACCTTCCACCCCATAAAAGAATAAGACCCACAGACCTGTCAGAGTGGTGTGTGCGGTTGGTTTTAGAATATAATATATTTATAGCTTTCATTCACCTCTCCCCCATTTTATTTATCTATGCTTTCTTTCTGGGTCACACCTGGAGATGCTTAGGTGTTACTTCTGGCTTTTAATTCAGGAAATACTCCTGGCAGTGCTCCTGGGGACCATGTGGGATGCCGGGGATCAAACCTGGGTTGGTAACATTCAAGGCAAATGCCCTATCTGCTATACTATGGCTCTGGGCCTCACCTTACCCATTTTATAGTTTCTTTTTATTGTCATGGGCCACTCCTGGCAGTGCTTGAGGAACCTAAAAGGTACTGGAGATTGAATCCGGGGCCTTACACATGTCGGAGGTGAGATCTTATCACTTGAGTCTCATCCTCAGCCCCTGGACGGCTTCTTGTTTTTTTAAATTAATTTCTTCCCTTGTTCTTTTGATGGTCAGGGTCACACACACTTGATTGTGGTGGCCCCACAGTTAAGTCATGCTTGTTGGAGGGTTGCACACCCTGGTTGTGATACTCACACAGCTGGTTGTGGTGTACCAAAGTTTTTACACTTCTCTGGGCACTGGGGATCCCAAACAGCAGAGCCATTGGATTTCACTTAGACACATGGGCAGCGCTGGGGCTTGAGCTGCATCTCAGTGGCCCCAGACAGGCCTCCCAGGGACTCTGACCAATGAAGTATCCCTTGGCCCCTGTTTTATCTTTAAGAAAGACTACATCTGGCAGTGCTCTCATCTACCTGGGGGTGCTCAA